ACCGGGTTTGGGTGCAGCTGGGCGCGCGGCCCCCGCGTGCGGCCTCGTGGTGCGTTTGGCCCTGGAGGGGTGCGGGCTCCGGGACGGGCGGGAGGGCAGCAGCCTGGGCCTCGCCCCGAACCCGCCTCTGGTGGTCGCGGTCGCTGTCCGCGCCGCCCGGGCCAGTTATCCTCCCTCCCCACCCACAGCGGCGCGGTGAGGCCCGCGCATCTCTTCTCGCCCTCGGAGGCTGTGTTCAGCCCTCGGACGAGCGGCGTGGCGAGCGCGGCCCGCGTTCCGGGCTGGCTCTCAGGGAAAGGCCACAGCGCTGCCTCCCCGCCCCGGGCGCAGCGGCGGGAAGGGAGGTGAGCCCGCGGCCGGCCAGCCGCGCTGAGGAGTCGAGCACCACGGGCCAGCCAATCGCGAGGCGCCCCGGCGTCCGCGCCCTGCCTCCCGACGACGGGCCCGCGCCGCGGAATTCCTCGGGAGGTGGGAGGTGGCTGGCCGCGATGGAGCTTTCTCAGGATGTGTGAGGCAGCATTCACAGGGCGGCAGTGGGAGGACAGGCTGGGGGAATTCTCCTTGAGTGAGCAAGGGCGAGCCGAGGTCTGGCAGCCAGCGATGAAAGCCTGCGACACTCCCTCTGCTCACTGGCGCCTGGAAATGGTTGTGCAGACGCCCCTGCCCCACCCCCCCACCAGCTGCCCACGCTGGCACTGCTGGCCTTTCCCCTGGAGGACCCTCAGAGGCACATCCCGGTCTGAAACATGCGGCTAGAGTTACCCCGCCCTGGCGAGGTGGGGCTTTACACAGTCACCCGGAGTGGCCGGCTCTAACCGCTGGGATGATCTGGCTGCTCACCTGCCCCACTTGGAGGGGATTGCGTGCACTCTGTAGATGGCCACACACACCGCGCCCCACCCCCAGGTACTTGGAATAGTCCGGCAGGAACTTTGGAGGAAGTGAGGCCTGGAGAGACCTTGTGTCACCTCCTTCCTTAGAGAGAGAGACCCAGTGTCTCCCAAGATGGCTGACTCCAGACAGCCTTGCAGGAGGCCCGTGCTGGAGGTCACCAGAGCACACAGTTGGTGCTCAGTCATTGCTCAACAGGCTACCTGTGAGCATAAGGCCCACCGTGCTGACAAGCTAGGGCTGCCCATCTTAGCGGAGGCTCTGGCTGAGTTCTAGAATGATCAAGGGCAGAGAGGGATCCCTACTCCTCCACCACCCAGCAGCATTGCTACCAACGAGGGACCAAGACTCGCATCTTTTCTGCTCTGAGAACCAAGCGCGGATCAAGCAGCCAACACGTTGAAAAGATAGAATGGAGAACAATCCCCAGAGAACCTTGATTAAGCTATGTCTAAAACCACCCTACCTCCACACCATCACTGCTCTGTAGACCTCTGTATCATAACAACAACAAAGAGAACATAGCTGCCACCTCTCAGCAGAACATAGAGGTGGGGAAGCCGTGGCCATATGGACCCCGGGTCTCTATGTCTGCTGGGATGGGTCATGCTCACTCAGGACCCAACATCCATGAAGCTGTTCTGGGGTCAGACCTGAGGCAGGCAGGTACCAACGAGGCAGTGATGCTCCTGTCTTTCTGATCCCCACTTGCTAGTCCAGCTGTCAGAGCCTGCACCTCACCCTGAGACTGCCTGAAAACCTGCCAGCGCCTCACAAACAGGCACGAATGAGGTGTGTGTGTTTGGACATCCGGGGCAGGGGGCCAAGGTACCATGAGGACTTGGACCTGGTCCTTGCCCTCCACCAGTGGGTGGACAAAACAGGCAAATGATGGGTGCCCAGAGCCCTGCAAGGCACACTTGTCCACGCTGTGCAGTCATTTGGGAGAGTCCCCCAGCCACCTGTGGGCATCTCTGGAGCCTGCCAGGGGACACCCCAAAGCCTGGGAGGGAATGAGCAGCAGGCCAGGCATTCTGAGGGATCAGGGCTGGAGGCGCAGGGCCACGCTGTGGAAGCTGGATGAGCTTGCTGATGGCAGCAGCTCCCCTTCCCCCTTGGCTCCAGAGCGCTGGGAGGAACGTGAGAGCCACCAAGAGAGCCCCGCATCGCTGGCAGATCCTGCATATACAGCTTCTGCAAACCCGCGCTCACTGACACCATTCCTACTTGCTCTGGCAGCTGGCCACCTGCCTTCAGCCCCCACCGTGTGGCTTCAAGACAGCAGAGGAGCAGCGAGAGGCCCAGCCCCACACCATGCTCTCCGAGGACACTGAGAGCAGGGACCACCTTTCATCCTCAGAGTCTGCCTTTGTGAGGAACAGTCTGGGAGGAGCTTTGGGAAATAAAATTGGAGAGAAACAGCAAATAATCCTTCAAAGCTTCCTTTCTATCCCGGGGCAGCGAGAAGGACCCTGGCCATCACCATGGCCTTCACCACCACCTCCATTTCCCCAAGGCAGTATTTCCTTATCCACCCCCAGCTGGGTTTTCTGTGGCTGTCTTTGTCTCCCTCACTGGTCAGGGAACCTGCCTGTTTATTCTCCAGCCAGTGGTGTTGCTTAGTTGTCCCCATGGCAACAGCCCCAGGAGTCCTGCCCCCCTCCCAGGGAACTGCCCAGAACCTGTCCCTGCCCTCTCCCAGGCCTCTGCTGGGAAACCAGACAGAGAGGAGCAGAGGGCAGGGTGAGAGGGAGACACCCTCTGCGGGCCAGCGGATGCTGGGCTGCCGAGGGAACCGCCCACCACACGTCATCCTGGGTCCTGCGGTGGACCTAGGCTGGCCTCGAGCTGCAGCAGAGCCCCACCCATGGGCTGGAGGAAGTGCCAGGTCCAGGCTGAAGTAAGGTGGGTCTCCTCTTAGGCAGAGTTTGGCCAGGTCCAGTGCCAGCTGGCTCTGCCCTCCTGCCCAGCCTTCCCAAAGACCACCCTTCAGAACGGCTCTGGGGCCGAAGCTACCTGCCAACCCCACGGAGGCCCCACCCCACTGTCCTCCAGCCCTGTGCCCCTGCCAAGCCCCAACTGCCACTCCAGCTGCCACAGCCAACTGTCGCCCCTCTCCATTCCAAGCACTCTCTTACCCCAACCGTCCTTCCTAAATGCCACTGCCAACTGTCGCCCCTTGCTCCCCAAGCCCTACTCCCACCTCCCCTGGCCAAAGCACCAGGGCTCTGCATTCCAGAGTTCCCTCTCCCGCTAGGACAGAGGCGAGCCCACACCTGCTGTGGGCCTGGCTGGGTAGGCTGGGCTGGGGGAGGTGCTCAGCGAAGGACAGTGTGGGAAGGCAGAGACAGAAAGCAGAAGGGACTAGAGGGAAGAAGCAGAGAGAGAGTGGGCAGGAGCGGAGGGCAGGGTAGCCTGACCTCAGAGCCAGCTTCCACGGCCAGGCCCGGCACAGGTGCAGGAAGCAGTCAGGGCCCTGCCCAGCAGGACTGAGTCAGTCCTGGCCACAGCTAGGGGTGGAGCTGGGGCTGCCTGCGGCCCCTTCCCCCTGAGGCTCTGCAAACACCTCATCCTGACCATGGATCCTGTCAAGATGTCAAGAGGGTACATGGCCCCCTCCCCACCCAGCCTCTTTACAGGGTGTCCTCCAGCCTTCACAACCGTAGCTAGCCCAGTGCCCAGGTCTGAGCCGTCCCTAGCCAACTTGGGTTACCTCTTCTGCGTGGATTCACCACAGGCCTCTGGCCACCCCTCTGAACCCCAGCCTTGATCTTGTTCCCCCTCTTCTTGCTTATCTCCTCCTTTCCCATTCATCCCAGTGGGCTCTGTGCGGTGTCACTGTCACAAATGAACACCTGCCTGGCCCCCACCCCATGTGGAGCCCATCTTTCCCCAGCCCCCTAGACTGTCCCCAGTCTCAGCGTGGCCCTGGGCATGCAGCAGGTGCCCTAGAGTGGGCCGTTGGCAGGCCCCAGGAGGGAGCCACTGTGCCCCCACAGATACAGGCCTGGGGCTGTAATTCCATCTCCGCATGGGGCAAGACTGTGGGGGCGGGGCTCAGCCTGGCTGGAGAGAGGCCACTGCTCCCTGGGGCCGCAGCCTCCAGGGCTCGCACTGAACATTCGGAGAGCACTGCAGGCCAAGGGGCCGCCTGGCTCTCCCTGGTGTCCTGCCTGGGAGCTGCCAGACCAAGCAGCCAGGCTTGCAAGATGGGACACGGTAAGAGGAGGAAGTATGGGGGCTCTGTCAGGTATGGGGCTCAGGCTGGCTCTGGGAGGAAGGGGAGAGGCAGAGCATGTTTGCTAAGCACCTACTATGTGCCAGGATCTCCCTATGTGGGGAGCACGGAGGAGATGACTTGGCCAGGGTAACCTGGCCTTCCCTGCTATGCTAGGGGCTGGAAAGGGGGTTGAAGGGAGAGCCTATGCCCCACCACAGCCTGTGGGATGGGGCTGTGTTCTGCCCCATGAGACGCAGGCCGCCCCTCCTACAAGGAGGTTTCTGGGGTCCCCTTTGTGGGTGCAGAGACACCCAGTGCTGAACAGGGCCAGCTTGCTGTCTCGGCCTTACCCATTCATCATTCACCCGCTCACAGGGCAAGACATAGAGCCCACCCTGTGCCAGTGTGAGCTGGGCTGGACAGCCAGGTACAACTCGTGTGCCTGGGCAGGAGTCAGTCTAGCAGAGACGTAACCAAGCGCATTTCCAGTGACTAAAAGGAACTAGACATGGGGCTCCCTGAGACAGGCTGGTCCTGGGCACAGGATGGGAACCGACCATGTGAGACCTGTGGTCCCAGGAAGGACAGGGGGCAGAGAGGCCAAGACCACAAGTGCCCACGGGTTGATGGCAGAGCTGCCTAGGGCTGGGTTATACCCAAGTGTGAGTGCATGCAGGGAGAAGTAGACAGTGAGCAACTAAGTGCAGGGAAGAAACAATGACGCCAAACGACAGTGCAAACTGTCCCAAGATTAACTCCACACAAGGCTGGAATGTGGACTGGGCTTAGAGATCCCTTCTAAAGAATTGAACTAAGAAAGGAACGAAACACCCTGTACAGTGAGGATATGTAGCAGGTGCCACTCAACTGAGATGACCCAGATTAGCACCACTAGGTGATCGTGTGAGGGCTGAGTACCCCTAAAATGACCTGCATGGCGAGAAGGGAACCTCACCTCTGGGGAGTCTCCCCTAAAACTCAGACCTAATCCTGAGAGATCTAATCGTGAGAGAGTTTCTCCGCCAGACAAGAATCCAGGGACATTCTGCACAACACCAAACCCCGTGCACCTGGAAACGTCCAATGTCACAAAAAAACACGGGAAGTTTCAGAAACTCTCGAAGCCCAGAAGAACCCATGAGTGGTGGAAATTGCAAGTGCTGTAGTGCCTTGGAGGGAACCATGGGACAGAGCAGGGTGTTCATGAAAAGCAAGATCCAAAGAAAGTCTGCTTGCAGGCAAAGATGCATCAAGGAGGCTTCCCAGTGCTGATAAGCCCCCCACCTGGTGCAAGATAACAGCTGAAAGCAGGGAGGGGTACACAGGGGCCGTGTGTGCTTCCCGCACTTGCAACTTTTCTGAAATCCTAGTAGATTCTAAGAGTGTATTTTTAAAAAAGGAAAAATGCAAAACAAACCTCAAAACCACCTCAGGTAGGTTCTGGTGCTGGGAGTTTAGCAGCCTCTCGAGGTCTATCTCAGCCAGCCAGGGGCTCAGTTTCAGCTTCAGGAATCAGACCAAGGTGCTCTGGGCTCTGCCCAGCCCTGAAGCCCTCGAAAGCTGTAGGAATCACAGAACAACCACATGGAGTCAGAGATGAAGCCTGGCCCAGTGTTAGCAAGTGCTGGTGTATGGCGGGCTACACACTCTCCTTTGTGAACTCTGGGTAGGGAGATCCAGCTGCCTTTCCTGCTGACCCCACCTGACACAGATGCATCATCAACAGCACCCCCCCATTTCTTTGCTCAAGAAAACGCAAATGCAAGGTGAGTGTGGTGGCGCACACCTGTAATCCCAGCACTCGGGAGGCAGAGGCAGAAGGATCACCACAAGTTACAGCCCAGCCTGGGCTAAATACATAGTGAATTCCAGGCCAGCCTTAACTATATAGTGAGACCCTGTCTCAAAAACAAAAACAAAAACAAAAACAAAAACAAAAGCAAAAGCAAAAGCAAAAGCAAAAGCAAAAACAAAAACAGAAATAAAAGCAAAAAAATACACACACAAAAAAACCAATATGTGTGGGGTGGGTATGTTTGATATGTTAACTTATTTATTTATAGTGCTGGAGATCAAACCCAGAGCCTCACATATATCAGGCAAGTGGCTTACCATGGAGCTACAGCTCTGGTGCTGAGAGTCTGCAGCCCCTTACAAAATATA